TTGTTTAACCCATCCAGGCGCCGTGCCCAGTAATTGATCAGCCTCAAATAACATACACAGCAGCAAAATACAACTATCGTCAGCAGTATTTTTGCAACTCTAGACAGAACTCTCGGTGACGAAAAACCTGAAACATTTTTGCACAGCACAGACGTTCTAGACGATGACAGAGATGAGAAATCCTAGAATCAAAATTTAAGCATTGGTTGAGTGGTAACTACTCTGTGCTGCAGTTCACCAGTTATTGTACAAAATTTTCTCGCACACACATTGGATTTGTTATCGGTAAACTTGTCAAGTAATTTTTGGTGAATTAAAAACTGTGACCAAAGAGTGAGCCTGTCAGCCGACCGATCCCGAGACAGTGATGACGTGGTGTAGGTGCAAAAATAGACAAACTGATTCTATTAATACTCTTTCTCTCTAGACATTGAATCGTCGTCAATAAAGCTGCTGCGTCTGATGACGGTGGTGATTATGGTGATCAGTTCGGAAGTCGCTGCCTCGCTGCAACCGTTTAGTTCAGCAGAATGATAAGCATTAAAATTGAATGTAATGTCATAATAATGGTTACTAGCTTCAGCAGAGTCAAATCATTTAAAAGCGGATGATGTGGTGGCTAATTGAAAATAATCTGAACGTACTCGTCAATCTGGTGGTCGTGCTGGATGTAGTTGAAACACTGGCTCGAGTTGGAAAAGGTGTCCAGAATGCCATAGCAGTGGTAGAGAATGGCCTTAACTTTGCCGGTCACACGAGCCAGGTCCGCCGTCGGTGACTGAATTGGCTTCGATCGCAGTAGCTTGTGAATCACGTACTTGGTCCAGATCAAGTTTGTTTTGGGAAAAAAATTTTGCCACTTGCGGTGAATTAGCTTTGACATATCTTCGTAGCACCGGTCCTGCATCTTCGGGTCATTGGCATTCTCGGTGAAGTTTTCAAAAAGATGAGACAAGTCGGTGTAGTACACCTTTGATTCTAGACAGCAAAAATTGTAACGGTTAGACACTTTCAAAATCTCAGTCAGTCTACAGAATGCTACGTACCATTTCGGTTGGAATTTCGAATTCGCGAAAAGGTAGTGTCAATCATCTTGACACGATAGCCCCATGAGGGTACTCGAATGGTGTTGTAGCGCAACTTGTAGTTGATGAACTTGTCGCTGCACTGCTGCAGGAGAATGTTGCCCGAATGCAGGTCTCGGTGCTCAAACTCGAAGGCCGCTTCGGCCACGGCGAAACCGGTGATGACCTGTTTGACGATGGACAGNCAGGAGAATGTTGCCCGAATGCAGATCTCGGTGCTCAAACTCGAAGGCCGCTTCGGCCACGGCAAAACCGGTGATGACCTGTTTGACGATGGACAGCAGCGCAAAGGGGTGCAGACTGTCGATCAGCTCACGCATCGGCTGGCCGCAGTCCTCCATCACCAGAATAATGCTTTCCTGGGGAATGTTGAGAAAGTACGGGTTCTCGCCTTTGACCGTTTCAACTCCATTCTCCTCTGAATGGAGTTTCAGGTACTTTGGCAGCTCCAAGCCGTGGGTGACGAGTAGTCCGCGGTGAGCGATGGGAAACATCTGACAGTGGTTGCCATTTTTGCCAGTGTTGAGCTTAGACAAGGCAAGAGAGATCTGGATCTCGTTGTACGCATCAATGTACTTGGTAGCGCGACCAGTAGAGCTGGGTTTAGGGCGATCTAGCAAAAACTCGGGCAAAAGACGAATGATCTTGAAGATCGTCGGTCGACGATGCGAGTTCTGGCGAAATACGTCAGCATAGGAGCCCGAGCCAATGTGCACCAGATTGTCGGTGTCATAGCAAGCAAGAGCTTCGTTGAAACTGTTGTAAAACTTGAAGCTCTCCAAAATTTTGTCCCGACCAATATCAGAGCGAATGTAGTACTTCCACTAGAACCGCAAAAACCTGCTGTTAGATACCGTAAAGAACAACAGCAAGTAACTTACCAACTTAACAAACTTGCTTTCGTCATTTTCCNCCTGCTGTTAGATACCGTAAAGAACAACAGCAAGTAACTTACCAACTTGGTAAATTTGGTTTCGTTTTCATTTTCATCAAAGAAAGCCATGGTTCAACTGATGCTGACAGAGCAGGAATAGTCAATCGTACAACACATCACCATATTTTATTGCTGACAGGTCAAAATTTTAGCTGGAGTTCGAAAAAATCTTGAAGTTCGAAATCTGCAGATCGTCTTCTGTGAGAGCCCCTTTTTTGAACCACGTGACGTCGTTGTCAAAACAAACACTCGTGGAAGATCACTTTGAGTTTTTAAATGTTTATTTCTTAAGTTTTATTGAATTTACTAAACTAGTTAGCGATGGGAAAGTTTGGCAAGGACAAGCGTGACATTTACTATCGACTGGCCAAAGAAGAAGGCTACCGAGCTCGGTGAGTACTTCAACTGTGCACCTGAGCACTAACATTGAAATGTTCCCTTTTTTAATTTCAGATCTGCCTACAAATTGCTGCAAATTGATGATCGGTTTTCCATTTTGAAGGACGTAAAGCGGTGTGTGGATCTCTGTGCGGCACCGGGAAGCTGGTCGCAGGTTCTCTCGCGCCGCCTTCACGGTGACAGCCTTCCAGTCACTGATGAACAGAAGAGCCGCAACACCGCAACAAGCAGTGCGGATGAGGTGAAGATTGTGGCGGTGGACCTGCAAGCGATGGCGCCCATTCCCGGTGTCATTCAGCTGCAGGGTGATATCACCAATCACTCCACTGCCAGTGCCATCATCACCCACTTTGACGGCCTCAGCGCCGACCTGGTCGTCTGCGATGGAGCGCCCGATGTGACCGGCCTGCACGACATTGACACCTACATTCAGGCGGAGCTGCTGCTGGCGGCGGTGAACATCACCACGCACATTCTCAAGCCAGGTGGGACCTTTGTAGCGAAAATATTCCGCGGCAAAGACGTCTCACTGCTTTACACACAGCTGAAACTCTTCTTCAAGGAGGTGATCATCAGCAAGCCACGCAGCAGTCGTAACTCCAGCATCGAAGCCTTTGCCGTCTGTCGAGGTTACGCGCCGCCAGAGGGTTACCTGCCGACGATGTTCAGCACGCTGATGGAGGGCGAATGTGAGAAGTACTTTGTGGAGCTGGATAACAAGGACTACATGGTCAATCGAAAGATCATCCCCTTTATGGCTTGTGGTGATCTTTCTGGCTTCGACTCTGACGCCACGTATCCGCTCAGTGCGACGGAGAACTACCAGTACCACGAACCGACACAGTCGCCGATTGATCCGCCCTATAAAAGGGCAATTGAACTGAAAAAGGCCTCTGCTCTTGACAAACAATAAGAAAAAGAATTTACATTTCAAACTTCAATAAAGCAATATGCAGTCAAACAAACAAGTTAGAAGAGTCGACAATCCATTTGGCGTTTTCGTAAGAGTCAGGTTCGATGAGTTGATTAATGTACTCTAAATTTTCCTCTAATGGGTTCAA